AAAAAAAAAAAAAAAAAAACTAGTGAAAGCCCCCAGTCACTTACCTAGTGAAAGCCTAATTTCCAAGTACTCAGAAGTCCATTTCAGTCTAAAGTAAAAATCCTAAGCTCTATCCTGCCTGCCCAGACTTAGAAGCCTTAGTGTGTGAGAGTGAGTGAGCTAGGATAGGTATAGTGGGTTTCTTCTTCTGGTTTCTGCTCCCCTTGTCCCCAACTCAGTCACACTGCTGTTTCTGGCCTGTGTAGTGTCCGGGAAGGGTAGCGAGTAGACCCCAGAGGAAAAGGGCAAAGCCTTATTTCTGGGGCCGGTGAAGTCCTCATCTGGGTCAGGGCCTTCTGTGTGTCATGTGCCGAAAGGCTGGCTCTCTCACTACCCACCCCCCCTCCAGGACACTCCCACGGGAAACCTCTCAGATGCCATCCTCAGATGGGCCAGTCTCCAACGTGCCCGGTCCTAAAAGCACATTTCCTCCGGGCTTCTCCTCGTCCCTTCGGGCTTCCCCTCCCAGTGCCTTCACTCTTGCTGTGTGTCCATCTAGATTGCTCTCTGGACTGTGCAGTTCAGCAGCTCAGCTGGTCCTTTCCTGGAGACTCACCGTAGGTGAGAATCAGGTACTAAATCTCACGTTCTCTTAACTCCAGGGGACCCAGGTCAAACTGAGTCCATTAAAGCATCTCCCTCACTTAGCTTGTGGACCTACTGCACTCTGACAGCCCTTTTCAGGAACTCCACACTCTAGTAACTTCTCCACAACCCTGCAAGAGGGAAGTTCACAAAACTCAATCCTCAAGTCTTTCATGGATCTGCGCCACCTGCAGCAGATGGAGGTACCTGCCGGCTTTGGTCCTGAGCTGAAAGGGAGACATTAGGGAAACGTCCTCTTACCCACCTTTTGAGGTCCAAGTGCTCCTCGTCCTTCTACCCGTGTTCTGACCGTTCTCTTCTGGTTCCCTGTGCCTGCCCCGCTGTGAAGGTCAAGTGCCTCACGGAGAGCTGTGCTGAGTACGGCAGGCCGTGCTCGCCTACGGGGCTTCAGCTCCCTGTCCCTGCCTCACTTCCCAAGCTTGCCCAAGACGGGAAGCTCCATCACCACGTACAGAAGACCAGAGCCAGCGGGTCACTTCCGGGGGCCCCACGCTCCCTGCTCAGCCCCGCTACTTTATACAAGCCCCACCGAGGGTAGAGCCACACGCGCAGATCGTTCTTCTGAATTCCGAATGGCGCCGCAGCCACCTGATGTCGCTTGGGCTACACTCAGCCCCGGCACGCAGTGGTGTCCTGGCCGAGGGGACGTTAGAGTGGGGCGTTAGCCTGCAGCAAGCAGAACTGCAGGGAGGGGAAAGGACCTCCATTGAGGGGGCCGCCAGGGAGGGGAGACAAGTAGCCTCCCTCCTCGCGTCTGCCCCAGAGGCCACCGAGAGCTGTGGCTCTCCACTCTGACTGAGCGATGGGAACAGGACGGCTTGGGACAGCTATGGGTTCGGGGCAGCAAAATCTGCCCTGCGGGGGAAGACGGGCTCAGAGGTAGCCGCTGCTCAGGCCCGGGGCTTGCACTCTGTAACCGCCCCCGGGGCTTGAAAATACCAGCTAAGTAGGGTGGGTCAAACCCCTGTCTCTGGGCTTTGAGGGCATTTGGGACCAAGAGGGGGAGAAGACCTGTCTCAATGCTTCCAGAAAATCAAGGGTTACTTGGGTAAGGGACTCCTTAATATCCTGCTGGTACCGAATAGCCTGAGTACACGTGTTCATTAAAAACCAGCCAACAGGGGCGCCTGGGTGGCTCAGTCATTAAGCGTCTGCCTTTGGCTCAGGTCATGGTCCCAGGGTTCTGGGATCGAGCCCCGCATCGGGCTCCCTGCTCGGCGGGGAGCCTGCTTCTCCCTCTCTCACTCCCCCTGCTTGTGTTCCCTCTCTCGCTGTGTCTCTCTGTCAAATAAATAAAATCTTTAAAAAAAAAAAAAAAAAAAACCGCCAACAGTGCTCTGTTTGTACCATGCACTCAGCATTCACCTTCCCTAAATCTCACCAGCACCACTCCCTGCGAAAACAAGTAGCAAGCACACAACCCTCAAAACTGTAGAACACATGAACAAACAGGCTCAGAAAGGTTAACTGGCCAAGGTCACCTAGCATCTTCCAGCAGAGCCGGACCAAAACCCACGTCTGCAGCAGAGCTTGCCCTCCATGGGTGTCCCTCAGCTTCACCTCAGGTGAGCGCTTCCTGTGCAATCCTCACGCCCTGCGGGGGTCCATGGCTACCTGCCCCCTGTAACTGCACTCCTCTCCTGTGCTCTCTGAAGACCATTCTGGAAAACACGGACCGCTGCAGGCAAGAGCAGGCCATAGAACAGACCCCAGCACTCCCCACGGCCCACCATGATGAATACTGTTCAGCACCAACAGCAGGATTTTACACGCACACCTTAGCCCGTGACTGCATCATGCAGCAAGCTCACAGTGCTTCCCCATGGAGCTTGGCGGCAGACCCCGTGTCAAGAAAACACCTTTCCGCTTTTCTACTTTATGGTTAGACTCAAAAATGCCTAGAATGACCCAGCACTCAAGATAACTTTCTCCATCCTTCATTCCAATTCCCTCCTTCCTGGGACCAAAACGAACAAATACAGCTCAAAACAGACATACAAGAAAGGACTGTTAGAGTGAAAAATGGTATGAGATTAAAATGGACACAAAATTATTTTTCAAGTGAAAACAAATGTAAGCATCCAGATTAAAAAGGAAGATAAGGAAAGTGACCAGAGACAATGAGACTGATAATTCTATGCCTTTTATTCAGTTATTTCAAAAATATTTGATTTGTTTCAAAATGTACATTTAAAAAATCCATACAAAACTGTAATTTGTTTTAAAACCAGAAACAGTGGAAAAGGCTTTTGAAAAAAGTTCACTGAAAGTAAAAAGACCCCCCCACCCCCACCCAAAAAAACCCCCACCTTTTACATGAAAGCATAAATACGGCAGGTACAAATTTTCCTTGAGTTCCTAGTTGAAATTTGGTCCATGACATGAACAGGCTAAAGTAGAAAAACAAGACAACTTGTCCACATTTGCATTATGAGTTGCTCACGGCACCAGCAGCCTCAGCTCATCCTTTAGGTGTTTACTGAACAAAAGAACTGAAAAATGAGGTGTGGGGTCTCCTCACATCAACACTCGAATCTGTACCCAAAGACACGGCGGAGCTTACAGCCCCAGCCAGCCCCTGTCAGTGAACAGTGCATGCGTGGCTGCCCCTCAGAACCACCTCCTTCCTCTCCACAAGAACAAGAAACTCTAGAATGCTCTTAAAGTGACGGTGACATCTCAGGTGTCCCAAGAGATCTTATTCCCAGACACAGATTTATTTAATGCCCCATCATGAGGATGTTTTTTTTTTTCCTTTTCAACTGATTTTTTTTAAAGAAAAATCTATGGCCTTCTAAGGCGACGCTACACTGTTCTAGGAGAGTGCCACAGAAACCCACCCAGGATGGAGAGATGACCGCGACGAAGGGAAAGTAGCGCACGTTTCTTCGGTAGGGGAGGACGACCCCCCTCCCACGGATCCCTTCCCTTCCTGGCTGCAGGGCGCTTAGGGACAGCAGGGCCTGTGGAAAGACCACGGGCTGGAGGAGTTATTGCACAACCCGGAGGAGCAAGGGGATGGTGGGCAGCTGCGGCTGCTAACATAGGTAACACTGAGTTAGGAGCGCGGAGAAACTCTGCAACGGCCAGACCAGACCCACCGTCAGACCGGGGTCTGTGAGCAAACACTTGTGACTGGGAAGTAAGAGTAAACACCTTGATCATATCAACTGTGGGTTGAATGGCAGGCAAAATAGATTGGAAGAAGTTATAGCCAGGCTACTTTTCTTTTTAATGGGGGGGGTTGGGGCGCTGGGAGGCCTGGCAGAGCAGGGCTGGCAGTGGGGGGCCTCGTGCCCCCAGGCCCCTGGGCTTCCCTCCACAGGCAGGAGGTGCAGGTGCCTGCGGCCGGGCCCTCAAGGCTTCTGCAGCCACCCATGTGGGCCAGAAAGCCGACACAAGGGAGAAACCAGAAACAAAACCTAGAACATACCATGAACCCCAACACCTTGGGGGGGACGGAGACAAATGAGGCCAAACTCCCAATCTGTGTCCCTTTTGCATGGAATGTACCGGGGTCCAGTGTCCTTGGCTGCACAGGACAACCCGCCCCAGAGGCCTGCCACGTGGGGTTGGCCACACAGCACGTGCGGAGGCTGGGAGGCCCCACGGCAAGTAAGGCACTTCGTACACAAAGAGGAGGGGGGCCTGCTTGGGACAAGCACTCTCGGGTCGCCGAGCACAGGGTCAGCACGGAACACAGCAGTCCCAGTGCTTTTCTGAGACCTCTAGAACAAGAGGCACCGAGCGGGCCGCAGGGGAGGCGGCGGACGAGCAGCAGCAGGTAAACTATGCCTGTGGGAACCAGAGAAAAGCGAGAGGGTGAAGGCTGCCTCCTGGGCCAGCCAGGGCCGGAGAGGGGTTCCACGGAAGTTTCACACGCTCGGACAACGACCCGCTTCCCCGGCTGTACCCAGAGTTCCTTCGCAGGAGCAGGGCTGCGGGCAGGGGAGGCCGCGGGAGGGAAGACAGACCACTCTGTTGTCCTGCCTCCACCAGGGAGGAACAGAGGGCGGCCACGACATTCGCGAACGAAGTGTGTTCGCTTGGGTCAGCAGGGGAGCCAAACCCGACTGGGAAGGCGGAAACCTGTGCAAGATATATCCAAACCAAGCCTTCCCGAGCCACAGGGGGCCCGGCGAGCCACTGCAAATTTAAAAAGGCGTCCAGGGAATAGATTTTTCTCTTGTGGGATCTTGGGAGGGGGCGTACTCTCTGCCTCTACCTCTCCTTCACCATTTAGAAAAAAAGCGAAAGGGCACGGAGGAGGAAGGTCCCTAAAGGAAAACCCGGCCGCACACTCCCCTGGAAGAACACCGAAGCCAGGCTTCAGGGCTCTCTGGAGTCCAAGGGATTCCAGTCAAGAGCGGCATTTGCAAAGGTGGCCGGAGCACAAGGTCTATTTTGGTGTCTGAAATGTTAGTAAGCGCTGCCTTGAGACAGAAACACAAAAGGTTCTCGGCAACAATTTAGGTCTGGTGGCCCAGACACAGACACACACACGCGGTTAGAATGGACTAGAACGGGGGAGAAGCAGCTCCCCTCCTGGCCCTGCCTGCTTTCCTCTCGAACCTTTCCCTACCTTCAAAAAGAACACGTGTGACTTATTAATAGTGCAGCTATCAGAGCCTGATGGTAAAAATAGCTTTCCCACCACTGAACCTCAGCAGCCCCGGCTCCCCCCGCCCCGCCCCGCCCCGCCCCCAGCCTGCCCACGGCCACCTGCTCAGCTTCCCCCGCGCCTGCGCCGGGCAGGGATGTTTAGAGAGAGGCGGCTGTTGCTGAGGTAGATTAGCATCTCAGAGCTATCTGGCAGGGCCCTCACCGATGGCTTGGCACTTTGGGAACAGGAGAGAGCTAGTTTAAGACTGAAGACGACAGCCAAGGTGGCCAAATCAGGACAAGCCAGCACAAGCAGCTCACAGGATGAGGTGGGGTTATTTGGGCCCCTGGCACCCTGCTCTGAGCCAGCCTGCCAAAGCCCGGGCTCTGCTCAGAGATAAACGTGGCCGGGATGCCAGGAGGGTGACAAGGCTCCCTACAATCACTCTGATCCCCCCTTCCCCTCCGATCGTTCCTAAGGCCCGGCTGGTGACACACGAGCCTTACTCATGGTCTCAGGGGTGTTGACATAGCGGAAAAATATCTTACTAACCCTCATCCCTGCGCACACCCTATCCTTTAAGAAACAAAGCCCCAGCCCCTGGGGCAGTGGTACCACCTCTGAATCACACCCGCCCCAGCGCCAAAAGCTTGCAGGACACTTCAGGAACACAGAGCCTGGTGGCCTCTGGCAACAAACACCTAGACCTCTGGCCACGAGAAGGGAGACTGCCTGATGCAGGCCTCGAGTGGCTTGCCCCGTCTCTCGGCCCGCAGCTCACAGCGTACCCGCCAAAGTTTAGCCAAAGTTTAACCTGAGGGAGCAGCCCCTTGGGGGGAACAGAACACTGCCCGGGACATGGCCAAGCGGAGGGCTGGGCTGAGCAGGGAGGCTCATGGGGCAGCTTTGGAGGCTGCTGGCTGGACGCCCTTCCCTCACCAGGCAAGGTGGGGAGCGTGAACGAAACCACAGCCTGGGCAGGGGTATTGGGCCAAATGGCTAAGGGGTCCCGGCTCAGGTCTGCTGGGTTGGTACCAAGCCACCCTCCTAGCAACGTTCTACTCTGCAGCCCAGAGAAGTGTCAGGGAAGAATGGGAGAGATGCAGATCTCCAAAAAGGCCATCCCGCTTCCTAAGGGTAAGCAGAGGCCAACGGCAGCTCTTCCCATTTCTATAGCCTTAGCCTGGACAGAGAGAGGAGGCTCTACAAATCCCTCAGTCACTGGAAAATTTAATCTATCTCTGACGCAAGTGACATGGAGGAGGGGAGTTACCCTGATGAAAAGGCCCATCTCCCCCTTTTTAGGATAATAATCCAAGGTTTAGCTTCTATGAGGTCAGAAAGAGGACCAGCACCTCAACTGACACATTTCTACGCCCACCAAGACCTGCTCCCCGCACCTCAGCACAGAGTTCACGAGTTCTTAATTAGGACTAAGCCTAACCCCTTCTGGAAGTCCTCCCCAGGCTCTGTATGGACTTGGAGGCCTTGTCTTTGGGTGGAACAGAAGGAAGAGGGGAGGGTAAGGCGGAAGCCTCCCCTTGGCACAGGTGTCTGCTCATCTACCCTGCAGATCATTCTGAGTCCCACTTTCGTACAGTCTAAAATGTTGCAGGTGTGCTCAAATATCACGGGATGACGACGACCAGCCCAAAGACACTCAACAGATGAGCCAGAGGGTGAGCAGCCCGGCGACCTCCCTGCGGCACCAGGGGGCCAGTGGGGGCCTTGGTGTTCCTGCAGCAGGAGAGACCAAGTCAGGCAGCGAGGCCAGCCCCTCACCGGGCCGCCTGGCTCTGGGCTTTGGGACCAGCATCCGCCGGGCCGCTCTGGTAACTGTGGTTGGGTGGGGTTTTGAATGCTGGTGAACGGTTGAAAAAGCGGCTGGGGCTGGGGCTGGGGCTGGGGCTGAAGAACGGCCTAGGGCTCCCACTCCATCATCTCTGCCGCCGTTACCTTCTCTGTATGCTTTGTTCTTGCTCTAGTGGGTGGGAAGACTTGTCCTCCTTCAGCACCTCCCCAGCAGAGCGAGGGCCGACTGGCCTCCGTCTGGGACCGGCCACCGGGAAGCGGTCTTGAGTCACGGGACCCAACACAGTTACCACCACCTTTCGGGCCCGGGTCGCCGTGCCCCACAGCCAAACACCGTGGCATTTCCGAGTAGCGGTAGTGCTGCTGGGCCTCCGATGGTGCGTGCGCAACTGGAATCATACATCTCAGTTAATCAGCACCTGGAGATGATGATCCAAGAGGACTGGTCTCTCCTCTCCTTGCCCAAACACGGGGGCCCCCCAGGGGCCTGCAAGCGGCCCTGGGCAGAGGCTCTGGGGCACGAGGCTTCTGACTCTGACAGGTCCCGGGGACTGATACTGGGTGTCGGATGGCCAGGACTGCAATTTGAGCTCCCTCTCGTTGTAAAAATCAGACAGAGAAAAATTGCACAATATGGTGAAAAGTCAAAGGAAGCAGCCATGAAGGAAGAGAAAGAGGAGGCCAGCCAACACAGAACCATGAGAGCCTGGGCTTCTAGAAAACCCAACACAGCACAGAGGTGAGGACATGAGGTGGCTTGAGGGAGAGAAAGAAGAAGAGTTTTGGTTTTATTGAGAATGGTTTATGGAAGAGTAAGAAGAGAAAGCCAAGAAATAAGAAGGAGGAAAAGCCCCGTTTGGAGACAGGTTCCTGCTGCTTGAGAGGCAGCAACAGGACTAGGAGGGGGGGAGGCAGTGGTGGGGGCCGGGCTCCCCACCTCCCTGCTGGGCCCCCGCAAGAGGATCCCTGTTCCAGCACTTTGGCCTCAAGGAGACTTGAGTTTCTTAGTCCGTGGGGAGGTGCCATTTTCTGCTTTCACCACTCCGTTTTCATGGTAACCTAGGAAGTGAAGGGAGACAGCCGTGGTGTTCCCGTGGGACAGGCGCAGGGCACACGGGCCGGGCCAGGCCGGGGGGGTGCCCAGCGCAGCTGCCCACCGAGAACGGCTCCCAGGGGATTCCTGCTCCCCGAAGTGTGACTCTGCAGGAGGCTGGGGGGTCCCTGACTATCCTTTAGCAGAAGGGGGCCAAGGTGACAGAGGGGGGACCCAGGAACAGGCTGGGGCCTGCCCCGGCCTCAGGCTGGACCAGATCCTAGATGGAATCGTGTAGACCCCGCCCAGCGTAGACCCCGCCAGCGTAGACCCCCAGCGGCCTCGGTTTCTCTATGCCGCCTGCAGGGCACCGGCTCCCGGGGAGGGGAGAACGGAGAGGAGGCCGCAGAGGCTGCAGGGACAGGCCTTACTCGGAGGCCCGATGATCCTCTGGCAGAAAACACTGTGCTATCTTTTTACTGTTGTGGAGAACTCCTCCCTGTGCCTGCTCCAAGTCGCTGTAGCTGCAGCCTCGCGGCCGCACCCACTCCCACCCGGCCAGAGCCCCCACACCCAGCCGCGCCCGCCCTGCTCCAAACACACAGGAGCCCTGGCCCCGCGGCCCGCACCTGGAGACAGGCAGGTGAGTCAGAGCAGAGGCTGGACCGAAAGGGCAGGGCTGGCCGGGGGCCCGGGGCCCGGGGCCGGCGGTTACGGGGGTGTGGCTGGGCCACAGGAGAAGTGGGCGTCCCACCCCTGCCGCCCACCTGGCACCGTGTCCCCGAGTCACTCCCGAAGACGGAAGACGAGCCAGCAGCCTGGGAGGCAGGCGCATGGTGCGACGCAGAGCGAGAGGGCAGGTGAGGACAGAGCCGTCTGGGCAACAGGCGGCAGATCTTGGCCAGCGTTCAGAAGCCACTTCGAGGCCACACTTCCCGCCAGAGCTCCCCACCCCCACCACGTGTCCCTGGCCCCTGCCCAGCCACGAGCCGGTGAGGCCCCGGCAGGAGCCCAAGCGTCAGGGCCCAGGGAAGGACTGGTCCAGGGAGAGCCTGCGGGCCCAGGGCCTGCGCTCCTCCCCATCCCTCCCAGCCAGGACCGCTACCTGCCCGGGGGCCTGGCACTCACCAGACTCCCTCTTGATGAGCCTGGCTGGCAGTCTGGGGGCAGCGGGGACTCTCCGCTTGGCACTCTGCTCGTTCCAGTACTCCCGCCAGTGCCGCAGCTGGGAGTGGATGAAGCGCCACATGAGCCAGGCCTGGGCGGCGCACACCAGCAGCAGCACGCAGAGCCTGCGGAGGACCGAGGGCCAGGCTCAGGGGGGCTGGGGGGGCACCCCGCAGCCCCCACCCCGCCACCTGCGCCCGGGAGAGCGTGCCAGTCTCCCCCCTAGCACACTGGACGGGTGCTGACAGAGGGATGGGGGCGCGGGAGACCAGGGAGCAGGAGGTGACAGGCGCATGTCCAGCTTCCTAGTCAAATGGCCACCATGGCCTCTCTTGTAGCCACAGCACAGAACGGGACTCCTTTAAGCTTCATACATAGAATGAAAGAATTCAAATGAATTGAATCAAGATACAGCAAAATAATTCTAGAAGAGTGGCTTCTCATCTAGCATGCCACTGGAAAGCTGAGCAACAGTGGACAAATCACACACCCTCCCAGGCCCCAGGGTCGCCTGGAAACACAATGGCTTCCTCCCTGCCTAGCCCCCTTCCCCGCTGTGGAAGGCCACTGGCCAAGCTGCCTAGCACACCACCGTACAGAGTCCAAGCGTGGCTGTAAATCAAGGGCCTGGACAGGACACGCATCGTGCACCACGAAGCACTGGGCAAGGGCGAGGGGACTCCCACTTGGGGACCCTGACCGCAGTCCCAGCAGGCCAGGCCAGCCAGTGAAGACGGTCTTGCCGGAAGGAGAAGGCTGGTATTCCTTCTCCTGTCAGGCCTGCTGTCTAGAGATCTCCAGCGAAACATCAATGTGCAGGAGACTCGGGTCTGTTGCCCCCGACCTTCCAAACTGTGCCAAGTTCAGGAGGCTCCTGGCAGGGCTCAGGGAGCCTTAATTTCTCTCCTTGGGCTTCTTCCCAACTCACCTGCAAAGTAAGGTGTTGAAGTTCCCTTTCTCGGGGTCAAAGGCCTGGTTTTCCATGCGAGCAAGTCCAAAGCCGATGGCCAGCACGGCGAGGGTGAGGATGAAGAGGCGGGTGACCCCAAATACAGCAGCCCAGGCATTAAACCTGCTCGTGGAGGCGGAAAAGGGACGTCAGCCTTTAGGGCCCATGAGGGAACCTTTACCCACTTCTCTGGAAGCAACCCCACATGGAAAGAGCATGCGAGGGTAGCCGAGTAGGGTGTCTGAGGGAGGGAGGAGGGATCTAGAATAAGAGGCTCCGAAAAACAGCCTCAGGTTGCCGCCTGCAGGTAAGGGGCAGTTCCCACCCTGGGCAGGAGCCTCCCACCAGGCAGGCCTCACAGGAGTCCCCTGCCCACGGCGCCTCCGAACCGGCCAGTGGGCCTCGTGCCACTCACAGCTTCTCGTTGTTCTCGTCTGCGAAGTGGAAGAGTCGAGCCATGTGGAAGAGGGACTCGGTGCAGTACTGCAGCAGCAGCAAGATAAGGCCCAGGCGGCTCAGGCTGGGAGAAAAGGACAAGCCTCAGTCCTCCCCCCTACCCCCCCGGACGCCATGGAGAGCAGAGGCCAGGGCCCGGCACCCTGGGCTCCGCCTCCACGTCACCTCTCCCTGGCTGGCCGTCCTCAGCCTGCAGGATTCTTGGAGAGAATACTGAATCCCCTGGCTGTCCACCTGGCCTGTCTGGGTCCGCATTCCCCCTCCCCCTCCCCCCCGGTGAACCTGGGCTTTGGCTCTCACGGCACCTGTCCCCTTGCATGCTTCGCCCGGCCGGGACCAAGCACATAAAAGGTGCTTAGAACAAGGGACCAAGCCTTGCAGGTAGAAATACAAGGGATTCCCACCGTCTGGTTTTTCATTATCCAAGTCTTCGCGGCTAAGAGGTACATGGAGAGGCAAAACTCAACATAACGCAAAAATACATGCTAATGAGCCAGCCTCTTAAAACATTAGCACCACCCACTCAGACACCCCCCCTCTGCTCAATTCCAGGCACGGGGTCATTACGGACTTCCTTAGGCAGTTTGCTACAGAAGGTCAACTGTCGTTCAAATACACGCAGTAGGACTGCAGAGTGAAATGATGTGGGAGCGCTCCCACGGGCAGTGCTAACTGCGGATCCCGCCGCTTCCACCCAACAAGACCAAGGCAGGGCAAGATGGACGGGGAGGGTCTCGGGATCCTGAGGATGCTCGAGAGAATGACGTGAAAACTAGCCAATGTCCTCACATGGCCTGGAAAGTCCAACATGATCTTGCCCATGACCTCGTCTCAAACCTCACTTTCTGCACTCCGGCCACAATGGGCTTTACACCCACTCCCACCTCAGGGCCTCTGACCTACGGTTTCTCTGCCTGCACCACTGTCCCCCCAGATCTTCACGTGCCTGAGTCTTGTCATTCCTGCCTCCACTTGAGTCACCTCCTGAGAGAGTCTTCCCTCCACATGACAAAGGTGCCAAGGAGACAAGTCCCTCTCTCCCATTACCCAGCTTTATTATTCTCTTCATCACACTTAGCACCACAGGAAACTATTTTTTCTTTCTTTTTTTTAAGAGAGGAATGGGGTAGGGGCAGAGGGAGAGAGAATCCCAAGCAGGCTCCACACCCAGCAAGGAGTCCAATTCGGGTTTCGATCTCACAACCCTGAGATCGTGACCTTAGCCGACATCAAGAGTCAGACGCTCAACCGACTGAGCCACCCAGGTGCCCAGAAACTCAGTTTTCTTAATGGTCTGCCACCCGCTAGAATGGACACCCCAGGAGAGCAAGGCCTTGGTCTTCCTTCAGCCAGATGGGACTGCAGCTCCTAAGGCAGCGCCTGGCCCGGGGGAGGAGCTCAGGTATGTGCTGAGTGAAGGCCTCTAAAAGTCAAGCTCTTCACCAAAACGAACACCAATGCATCAGTTGGCATTTCAGAGGTGCGTCTTCCTGGGGAAATCCTATATCTCTCCTTTCCTCACACTCACTTCGGAAAACCAGAACCAGGATGGAGAAGGGAAATCATGGTCCTTACACGAGCAGAGAGACGGCTGCACCAGCATCACCGGGGAATGGAATGGGCCTCATTTTGGGAGGGTCTGCTGCTCCCTGCCCTCTCGGTTCTATTCTGATTCCAACACAAGAATCACAGGACTCTGCCCGAACAGGGTCAGACTCCTGTCCATCTCCTTCCCTGGGACATGTCAGACGTGAGATAAACAGATCCTAGAGCATCTCCTGTCTTTGGGAGGAAGAGTGATGATACAGCAAGGACCCAACAGCAGGAAGCGCTCTTTCTACCTGGTCCTGCCTGCACAATCTCACCCAGGTCCTCACCGCATGCTGCTGGGTACTGCACGAGCACAGAGCTCATCCCGCCATATAACCTTTGCTCCCCAAAGACCCAGCCAGGAGTTGATGCCGTATCAGCCTCCAGAGATAAGCGAGCAGATGCAAGAGCTGCCTTCCTCCTAACTCCATTACCCCAGGCCAGTCACCCTCACAGGACGCCAGCCGTGAGGGTCTGGGAGATGATGGGCTCAGGGACCTCCGGGGAGCCTAGCAGAAAGTTATCCATCGCAAACCCTCAAAATGTCGGCCCAGAGAAAGGACAGGGTGTTCTATGCTGCACAGATAAAGCTCAAGAAAATTCCAAATTAGCAATGACATATCCTACTCATCAACAGGATTCTTTCTGTAAGAGACACTCAAGGCCAAACACTATGGCAACTCCTGCGACTTCAAAGCTATGGTTCAAGTGCCACCAGCCCTCGAAGCCTCCCCTGGCTCTGTGTCGGGAGGACTTAGTCACTCTTCTGGGTTCCCACGGCCGAGCATACATACTGGAGCCCCACGCCGGTCACACTGAGCGGTCCTGACCTGTGCCAACAATGGTCTCTCCCGCTGGGCTGAGCATGAACCACTCAAGATAAAGCAATTGCCACCTCTGTGTTCCCAGGTCTCGCATGGTGCTTGGCAAACAGAAGGTGCCTAATAAATGCCTCCTCATCGAGTGCCTGTGTGGAGAGCTGCATGGACATACAAGGGCATGGCAGTCTGACCGGCTCGGGGTCTCACTCACTTTAAGAGGTATGCTCCGGCTATGTGGGCCAAGTACAGACAAATGTACTGCAGCTGACGGGGGATTTCCTCCTGCAAACAAGAGAAGCAGACGGTAAACGTGCCCCCCTGCCCCCAACTCCAGATGCAGGAACGGAGGGGAGGTGCAGAGGGATGACGGTGGGCCGGGCCGGGCTGCTCTCACCCAGCCGGTCCCAGATCACGCCAGAGGCCCACGCAACCAGGTTGCTGGCAAGCCAGAGGGCGAGGCACCAGCTTCCGGTCCGCGGGGCGGGACTGGGTTGAGAAAGAAGAGACAGGGACTGGGGAACAGGGCTTTTGGAAGTATTTCAGAGGGAGGCTATTTAAGAAGGAAAAAAAAAAAAGACTGAGAAAGGCCAAAACCTCTGATCCACTATCCAGAAGACAAGAGGTAGACCTCCTGCAAAGCCACACGTCTAGCGTGGGAGGCAGGAGACGCGCTGGTGGCCTGCTCTCAGGGAGATCTTCGCGGAAACTTCGCTGGCTCAGCATCTTCCTCAACCCGCTGACACACCCCACCCAGCTCAGGCCCAGCGGCTTACTGCAGGGGGCAGTGGGGGGACGTGCGGCTTCCCAGCTGGGGAGTACTCACCTTCCGTACCTTCTGGAAGTACAGCTCAGGAAGTGCGTGCAGCCAGTAGGCCAGCTGACACAGGTAGAAAAACTTCACCTGGAAGCTGGAGACAAGGGAACGAGTCACATGGTAGGGACACACGGGAGGGATGAGCACGGGGGGAGGGGGCCTGGACTGTGCGAGGAGCTGGTCCAGGAGCCGGAGGGAGGCCCCGAGCCCAGGGACCCTGCTCCACAGACCAGAGCACTCCACGGGACACAGAGTCCGTGGTGGGAAACAAAAACGGTGAAGAGTACAGCGGAGGGTTCCTTGGCTCAGAGAAGGGAAGGCTGAGCACAGACAGTGAAGATGGGGCACCACTCTATTGAAGAGTGAACGGAGCTAAGTGGCAAAGGAGGCATCGCAGCTCGAAGCCCTTTGCTGTTGCTCTGAAGGGTCTCAGGAAGGCACTGAGGGCCTCCCGCGGGAGGCAGACCCTCCTGGTGTCTCGGCAGCACAGAGCAGGAGAGAAGGCGCACCAGCCGCGCAAGGCTGGGAGGAAGGTGCACTGTGAAGGGGTGCAGGTCACCAAGAAGGTACGAGGCCCAGAGAACTTTACAGAGATGCTCCGCTTCCGTTATCGGTCTCTGACAGTGTAGGCACCTGCTGTGGGCTGAAAGTGGGTGTCCCTCAAAATTCAGATGCTGAAATCCGAATCCTTGTGTGACGGTATTAGGAGGTGGGGCCTTGGGGAGGTGATTTAGTCATGGGGGCGGGGACCTCATTAATGGGATCCGTGCCCTTGTAAAAGAGACCCCAGAGGGCTCCTCCCAGGCTTCTCCACAGGAGGACACCACCAGAAGACCGCCCTCTCTGAACCCAGAAGCAGACCCTCACCAGACACCAGATCTTGGGCTTTTCAGGCTCCAGAACTGCGAGCAATAAATTTCTGTTGTATAATTTCTAAGCCACCCAGCCTCTGCCGGCGGGGCTAAAACGTCACCTCTGTGACAGGGGCTAGTGAGGAGACCTCATTTTGGGAGTCTCCAGTCAAGCGCACTAGCAGGAAGCAGCTCCCAGACAAGACTGCCGTGTGCACCACGGTGTCCGAAAAGGCTCGGGCTGTGAGCGGCTCCTGCCAGCGGCCCGGCTTGCTGCTCCCCGGAGACAGTCCTGCGAATACTCACGGGAGGCACACGTGTGGGTAGTCTTCCCAGAGGCTTCTTGGGTTTGTTAAATATCCTTCCTGTAGTGGGCAAGGAGAGACGGCCTTTAGACAGGAGGTTAGGAGACCCGCTGGGGCCCTGGGCAGGGCCAGAGGCACACCCAATCCCCAGCGCCAGAAAGAGGAAGAGACAGGAAACATGAAAAATGAAGGCTCTCTCTCTGCACGGGAGCCACCCGGCCCTCAGCCGGCTTCTTCACTGTGACAGAGCTATGACGTCGCAGAAAGAGCCCTAGTCTGGGGGCTGAAGACCTGTGTCTGGACGTGGGCCTGGCACTCACCGGCTGTATCCTCTGGGCAAGTTAGTCTCCCTAAGCTTCAGTTGGCTCGTCTGAAAATGAGGATAAAAATACCCTCGCAGAGTTATTGTTAGAAATAAATGTTATAGCTTATGTTTATGCGTCTAGCATTATGCCTGGCATGAAGGCACTCAGGAAATGCTTGTAGAATGAATAAGCAAGTGGACTGGAAAAACGAAAAGCCTAGTTTGGCTTTTCACATCGCTATGAATAAAAAGAATGCAGGACCGCACAGGCTTCCCCAGGAGGCCTCACCCCATAGGCCTCCTAAGTGCCTACCACACTGGGTCGTTATCGCGAGAGGTCTCCATTACTCTGCAAGTTCCTTCCCACCAGGGTCTTACCATGCCCTTCTTTACACCTCCAGCACCTAGCCCAGGGCCTATTGTACAGTAAGGGAGGTAACCTGAAAACCCTCCCATCATGAAACCTCCAGAAATGCTGGATGACATCTAACAAGAATGCTCTTAAATGCAAAGGGCTTTCCCAGAAAGGGATCCCAAAGGGACAGGAGGCTAAAAGCCAGAGCAGTGAGGTGAGGCTGGGGCAGCCCAGAGGGCATTAGTCTTGGGGCCAGGGTGTTCGTGCCCACATGAGAACAGAAGACAGGGCCTCCAGAGGTGGAATCCAAGACCCTTGTGTAAAAGCAGGACCCCTGAAGAGCTACAAAAGACGGTTAGACTAGAGTTTGCACTAGTTTGGGTTGCACTAGACAAAGGGTAGACTACAGTCTGACCACCCATAAAGAGAGATTAAAGAAGCTTTCTGCTCATCCTGGGCTCGGGATGAAAAGCAAAATATATCATCCCTTGAAAATCTGTAACCTCAGGTTCACTTTCACATGAGTTTGGAGTTCAAACTTATACCCCTCGTATGGTCCAAGAACTACCAAGCTTAGAAATTAGTATTATTAATACTGTTGGGCCAGTGATACCACTGGGGCATACTCTCATCCAAGGATGTACAGGATCCTCACGCCTAAAACCCTGCTAAAGAGGAGTCTGTAATCCAAAATTACAAAACATAAGAGGAAACACTCCTCTGTGAGCAAGAGTCGGCTGACATTACAAGAATCCAATAAAAACTTGTTGGTCGAATGAATGAATCAATGATGAATGCTTTAGGCAATTTCTCTCTTCTGAGGGAAGAACAAGGCTCTTACTAGTCCCTCAGAGAAGGTTAGGACAGTACGACCCTGTCATTCCAGGGAAATCTCTGGTGAGAACATCCCAAGGAAGCAGCAATGTACTTAAGAAAATGGTCCATCTGGGACTGAGGTAGGAGGGACATTTCTGCCCGAAGACAGACTGGCCAAGAGAAACAGCACTGAGAGAAACCTAAAGCCCAGATGACCTTGTGATTTTAAACAGGAACCCTCCTCGGCTTGGCCCCTTTTCTTAGGGGACAAGGAGGTCAGAAGTTTGAAGCCAACAAGCAAAGAACCTCCCCAGAAAAATGCTGCCTGCTTGTAAATGTCTAGTCCTCAGGGAGTACAGGGAAGGAGTGCAGGGAGGAGGGCGGGGGAGTCAGAGGAAAATGACTCACTGCCTTTTCCAGACCTCGGGCCAGGCAGCTGCCTGAGGGCGGCCGGGGGCCGGGGTGCCCTCTGGGGGCCGGGGTGCCCTCTGGGGGCCGGAGGCCGAGGACCTGAGATCCCAGGGGGCCGAGTGTGGCAACCCTGCCCCAATCCTGGTCCCCGACAGGCACTGGCAGAGGTGCTGGGGGAACTCCTGAAATCCTTTGTTCTCTCCTTAACCTAGGGGCCAAGGGAGGCCCGAGCAAACTGGAACAATCTCTCCTTTTGCCCCCACAGCCTTCCTTTTTGGTGAACAGACAAACAGAACCACAGAAACAGCAGAACCCAGTCATAACACAGCTGGTTGCTACCTAGACTCAGACATACCAACATCGTTTGTCCTTCAGGAACAATCACATACTCGAGTTCTGCTCTAAGTGGCCAAGCTGTTAATAGAAATCAGTCCAGGGTGAGGGGCCTTCCCTCTACCAGGCTCTCACAGAGCATCAGACTTCAGGTTTGTGTTTTTTTGTTTTTTTTTTTAGATTTTATTTATTTGACAGAGAGAGATACAGCAAGAGAGGGAACACAAGCAGGGGGAGTGGGAGAGGGAGAAGCAGGCTTCCCGCCGAGCAGGGAGCCCGATGCGGG